GTAAATGTAGTTTATTCATGAGCAGTTTTGACACAAAATCAATACCAGGTAGTAAAATTGCTATGTTTCGGATTGTAGCATATCGAAGAACTTTCTAACCTGCCACGAACTTGCAGTATTGCTTTTGGATTTAGGAAAGGTGCTAGAGACTCTATATTGCTGCTTTTATTTATATTTTGTTGTTTCTTTAAAGTGTGAATTTAATTTCTTTGAATTTTCTTAATTATTGTTGTACAGGAATTTGCCAAGTTTCTTGTACTCAGCTCTTGTCTCAATAAGAATATCAGCTGCTTCACTTCTTGATATTAAATCTGCTCGATTCATTTTGAGTTAAACTAGTTCTATTATTTTACATCAGATTTTGTTAAATTGTTGTTATTGGGTTTGCTACGTAAGTTTTGTATAAAGCAGATTCACCTTGTATGCACGACAAGACGTTTTTTGAATCTGCCCAATAGTTTATGGCACCAATTTTTCTTTTTATAATATTTTTGACTTTATTCATCATCTTTGACAAGAATTTTGCAGCACATAGCTCTAGACGAGGAATCGTTCTAATTGGTTTTGTTTCCATGAATATCGACTGTTCTACAATATATTACAGCACCATAAGCCTTTTGACTAGCGCCTGAAAAACCCTGTAGCTCAAATCGTACATTCAACGTCCCAATAAATTTTTTAATGCCATAAATTTTGAACTAAAATCTTTATTTATTATAAAATGGACCAACGAAACATAGAGGATCGAATAACTTTACTGTTTCAGATACGATTTTTTTTTTCGTTATTATTTCAGGTTCATCCTGTTGAAAAGTCAAAACAATCTATCTTTAATGGAAATTTCTTCATGCAACTGCAGAACAGATGGATGACGTAATCAAAGGAACGAGTTAAAGGCAGAAAAATTCATTAAAAAAATTTTTTCTCCTCGAACTGGACTCGAACCAGTAACCTACCGCTTTCTAGGCGGACGCTCTACCAACTGAGCTACAGAGGCATGAAGAAATTGCCGACGAAATGTTCTCTACATTGCTTATACTGTAATTCACATGATTACTAAGTATTTGTTTTGTTTACATTGATTGCTACATACAATCTACTATTGAAACACACAATAACAAGAACATATATATTTATAGGATTGTGCCTATTGCACTAATTAAATTATGAATTTTACTAATACAACATCATAGTTGCGGAATTAATGAGAATGTGCTTATTACACTACTAATTTATCTTTAATGGAAATTTCTTCACGCAACTGCAGAACAGATGGATGACGTAATCAAAGGAACGAGTTAAAGGCAGAAAAATTCATTCTCTTTATTATATATCTTAATTCGTCGCCATACTTCCTTATACGAAAACATTGATATTCTATCCCGTTTTAGGCAGATTGCTTTTTGATACATCACTCTCCTGATTTATATTGTTCAAATGTATCTCATGGTATTCTTGGTATATTCCTCCAATTTTGTTATAATAGTCCACTGCAAAACAACTATGATCCAGCCCGATATTTCTCTTGCAAATCTGTACGACATGAACTGTTCATTTTTCCTCGAACTCTTTTCAACTTTTATATAAAACTTTGATTCTTTTTTTGAGGTAATCTGCTGTTTTGGTGTTCGATTTGTTGGTTCTTGCTTCAAATTTCAGATAATTCATCATTTCGTGCTGCTTGTCTGTCAATGATGCCATACTTATTGCTTGTTAAATATTTACAGTCTTGATATTATAACTGATTCCTGCTCGTTTTGCTTAAAATTTTATGCTTGTTTGAATTTCCATTTTGAATATGAAATATTTCTTGGCTTAGGACAAATTTCTGTCGCGGTTTTTCTAAGTTCTTTCATTGCCGATTTATTCGAAAAGATTGCTTGTCAATTTCAATACGTGAAGATCACCGAATATACAATAGTCTTTTTTCCTCATAATAGGCTAAACTTTCCTTAATTAGCATTGAGATCAAACAATTACTCCTAATCTTACGTTTATTTTATCTTAAATTAAGTAGAAGCACCTAATCTGTTTTTTTTTTCCTTCTTCACTCCTAGGAGGAGTATAGGGCTAGTGCATGATATCTATCATGTCCTTCTTTCTATAGTCATAGAGAGTTAGCTAGGTAGGTTACTAGCCTACCGTAGTTTTTATTTATATTAAATATTTCAGTTTATTAATATTTACTGTTTATTCTTAGTCTTTAGTATCGAATATTATGAATATTCGAAAATTACTTGTATAATATTAAATTTATTAGCATTGCATATTAAGTTATATAATATTGAATATAATTTTTATAGTGACCTGACCGGGGTTTGAACCCGAGACCCTTCGGTTAAAGGGCCGGTGCCATAACCACTGCACCAATGGTCAGATACCTAATCTGTTTTATAATATATATTTGTATATGCAGCAGAAACACTGAAACATAGTTTTAGTTATAATAATAAAAACATTTCTTGATAGTGACTTAATATATAGGTATATAGGTAAGTAACGCTGATTTGCCTGAATTTATTCGAATCGAAGCACAATTTATATTCTAAAAATTTCTGACATGTATGAATTGAAAATATAAAAATATTTACTTTCAACTGAATTAAATCTTACGTACTATGTTACATTATATTTTTTAAAAATGTATTTTATAGATACATACTAATTAAAATTACTTAAATACGTAGGTTAGTACAGAAAAACAACTATTTACATTTATTTGCAAATCCACATTTCACAAAACAGAAGCTATAAATTCTAAATTTAAACCTATAAATTATAAATGTTCACCATTTTACAAACCATAACTGATTACATGTTTATTGACCGCATTGTACAACGAAGCCTATGTGATGACACCAAATTTGGCACGTGGAGCTTCTAGGGATGGTAAGTAAACTAGTTTTAGCTAGATGTCGGTCTGCAGGTCATGTGTGAGCTTGAATAAATGATTTTTAGGAGAATCGATGAAAATTTGTGCGTTAGTTTTACTTTGGCTGTGTTAGCGATTGATCAACTCTTTAAATATGTCAGATTTGGAGAGCCGGACTTTTACTACTGACAGATTTAAAATTTTTAATCTTTGTTAAGAGAATATTTAACAGAATAACTTGAAATTTTATAAGTAGAAGTATATTTAATCTTTGTCTGACGTTTTTAATATTAAACCTCGATAACATTATCATCTTACTTTATCAATCTTAACTATGTCACTAATAAAAACAATAAAATAATACTTATTAATATTATCTAATATATTGTTAACTTACTACATTAATAGTTCAACTATATTAGTTTAGAATATTAGAAATAGTTTTAGAATATTATTTCTAATTTTGATTTATATTACTTAAAACCCGTTTTAACTTACCGATTTACTGAAATTGTTTTTATTCATTTGCAGAATGTATTATAACAATGAAATACTTTCTGTAAAAAAATAAGAAAACAATGGACAATATTTTGTTTTTGCTTATTTAAATAATAATGTAAAACTTTCAATTTTTTGTGGTAGGGAAAGTTTACAAAGAAGAAAACTGTTTTTTTTTTTTATTTTAACGTTATTTAGTTTTGGAAAGGCATTTCACGGTAGTATTTTACGCCTTAATCTTAAACAAAGTTTTAATTTTTCAAATATGTATAAAATTTCATATGGAAAAGATATTCAGATACTCATTAATTGTTATTTATTTTTCGTTATATACGCAAAAATCTATAAAATATTTTCTTTAAAATGATCAAAAATGTAAAACAGGCCCCTTAAAAGATTCAGTTCCCGAGACCTGATACATTCCAAAGGTTGACCAATCCGTGCCATTGTCGAAATAAACCTACATATAAAATTTCATCAAAATCGGTTCAGCCATACTTGAGATAATGTGTCTACACACAGAGAGGCAGACAGACCGACAAGTTACTAAAAATAGTTTGTTTACACTATCCTACCATGAAGAAGTGCGTTCCCCCGAAAACTCGATATGCAAAATTTGTTACCATCACATAACCTACCTTATTGTATACACAATGCAATTCTCATACCCAACATTCATTTTCCGCAGTTAAGGTACATTTTTCACCTGAATGTTGTCTGTTCTAACTCAAAAATCTAAATGTTTTCTGTTTTATGCCAATATTCGACAATGAGTAAAGTTGACGTTTGCGCGAGTTTTATACTAGATTTATGAATTCAGTTACAAGCGCCAGTCTTTTTTATCTACCGCATTGTACAAATGAGCTAGCTTATGTGACGGAACTAAATTTTGAATGTCAAGTTTTCTTTGGGGACGTACTTCTCCATAGTAGGGAAGCTTAATGGCTATGGCACGGATTGATCAACTTTAGGGATACATCAGACTTCGGAAATTGGACCTTTTTGCGGACCAATTTTACATTTTTGCTAAATAGTAAATTATATAAATAGAAGTAATCAATCATTTTCTTGAAATTTAATATTTGAGTTCTGGTTGTTACCAAAACTAGCTGGTGAACTTACTGAAAATTCTACTAAGAGCCAAAATTTACACTTTTCTAGATATGTTAGCTAAAAGCTTACTAAGTACCTTAAAATTGAAAGGAAGTAGTCAAAATGCATTTTCATAATCTTCTGTAACAGTTTCACTAAACTAGGCAATGCACATTGCGGCCAGTTATCAGATTTTTTTTAAATATGAAGATAAAAAAAATATTACTGAACATTAAAATAGAAAATGTTGTAACTTGACAAAATGTTTAGTCCTACTGACGCACTTAGGGTGGTATCCTTTTTAAATTAAGATGAATAAAATTTAATAAAAAGTGTGTAAAAGTGAGAAGCTAAAAGTTGCCGTTTTAGTTAAAAACTAGAAAACTAAGAAAGTAATCTCAGTGAATACTCTAAACTTTAAAAAAATAATATCTTAAGTTCTGTGTGTTAAAAATTTTTAGTTTACACTTTTTTATAAATTTTTAATAAAACTGGTTGATTAAATAATAAAGTTTCTTTTGCTTAGTTAAGAAGTTACCTAAAATACCAATTGGAATACCCCTTAATTTTTCTTTAATATGTTTAAAAGTTTTCTTTCCTTCACTAAAATCTGCTTGTATCCATTTTGTCTTAACTTTAAACTCTTGTTCTGAAAATTATCATATTGTGTTCAATACATTTTAATGCAATGCATTTTTATGAGTTTTATGTTACCGATTTCACTTGCAGTTTTAACTAACTTTTCGGAGCTTCTCGAAATTAATATGACGTTGATTCCTCGTTTAGCCAATTCTCTTGAGTATTCCTTTCCAATACCATCAGTTGCTCCTGTCACAACTAAAAAGAAATTCAGGAAAAATAGCTATATAATTTTGGAATTCTTTTTGTTGTTATAATAATTTATAATAGAAAAATTAATTTTTTCCCACAAGAACTGAGCAGTACGTCAAACAAATGCGTAGATGACCTGCGCAGAAACGTTATAAACGTCACCCAGACAATAAAAGAGTCGTGAAAAGACTTTCTCAAACACTTAAAAGAGAAATAGAAAATTTCAAATCAGTATGATGCAAGAATTATATAAAGGACTTATCAGGAACTAAAGAAACGATTTATTCGTTCTGGAATGCAAAGTAGAGTACCAAGAAATCGATAAAGGAAATTTTCCCATTGTAAAAAGCGTATGGATCATGGGCGACGAGTAACAGAGATAAAGCTGAACTATTTGGCGATCACTTGGACGGATTTTTTCAAACAAATGAACTGAATTCTAGTGTTTGTTTAGTAGAAGATTTTGATATGAATGAACGCACTATGGCTGAGGTATTTATTTTTTTGGAACCTAACTTTTTGGGCGCGGGTGAAGAGTTTCACTATCAAACTTGTCCTGGTATATACGTTATAACCTCTTCTAAATGTTAGATATTATCTCTTATAAGATAATATCTAACATTTTTGTTATTTCAGACATAGAGTGGAAATCGAAGTTTTTACCTGTGTATTATAGAGTTCAGATATAACAAGAGGAATTTTACTTATTAATAGATAATATATTAGGTGATTTTGTTAAAAGCGAAAGTGAAACCGTTATGCTTGCTACTTTAAGTATTAAGACAGACAGACAGCAAGTTTTTAATGGGTGACACAATTAATAAAAAAAAATGTTAATTCAAAAAAACGCTCTGAGGATTTCAGGCTTTTTTGTATGAAAAGATTTTGAGAATTCAGAGGGAATTTAATATTGACCAAATTGATATTTTAACGTGTAGTTTGTTTCAATGTCCATAGTTAACATAAAACATATGAAGAATATATTTAAGCGTAGTTAAACTGTTTCGGACCACCCATTTTTCATAGATTAAAAAGTCGCCGATTCGTTACATTGATGCGAGAAAGGAACAACAGTTCAAAGAGGTAACATTTTTTCTCGTTTGTGACATGCGTCATTGTTTTATGATAGACTTGTTTAAATTTTTTTTAATAAATTTATAGATTTTAACTCCAATACGGTAAAAAGTAATACATTGATACTTACATTAAAATGTTTGAAATTCCATTTTTCAAAATGGCTATGTTCTAATATGAAACTAAATGTTTGTAACTATTAAATTTTAATAGTTATATAAGATATATTTTAATTAATATCTTATAAAAAACAAAATTTAATATTTTATACACTTTTTTTAAAGACATTATATTTTCTATAAGAATGAAAGAGAAAAATATAATTCTTATATAAACAAAACATTTTTGACATTATTTGAAGTAAAATACGTAACAGTGTCTTTTGTTTGTAACAGTGTATAAAAATGTAACGAGAATTTTACGATTTTTGATTGACATGCCCTATATCGCCACTGTCACTCACACCAACTCGTTTAATCAAAGTAAATTGTGTTGACTTTTGTGTCAATTCCCGTAACTTCTCCCGTCAATTCCCGTAACTTTATAAATTTGTTACTATATCTTTCTAGTTGGGTCGGACTACGCACAGATCAATCGAAAGTTATTGAGAAGAAATTGGTCAGGACCGGGCCCTCTCAATAATTCCAGTTGATCTTCTGTCTGCGTGAATTGTACAAAACTATCAGCTAACTCAACCAGCAACCATGGGCCCCATGGAAGCTGGGTCAGCAGTGGCGTTTGGCGCGCCGAACTCTAACCGATAGATCAAGATGGAACTCCTACGGCTGATATTTCGCACGCACCAAGTGGAGCTGAGCTGTGCCTTTAGAAATGTTTATTCTTCCGCATCTAAAGTGCCAAGGCCGCCATGTGCCCTTATAAAACTATTATTTTATTATTTAATAAAATTTCTTCCGCTTCCAGGGTACATAAAAAGAGACCTGATGACAATGGAAATTGAAGATCGGCTGCTGAGCAGAAAAATGACTCTCCAGAGGACGTAAACAAATTTGTGAATTACTTCCGATAATTCGTATCACACAGTATGGGTTAACAAGAAAGAAATTCAAGAGGTGAGTACCAATTTGAATTCTTATTCCAAAATTACTTAGATATGGTTAATAGAGTTAATGAAGCTACCTTTATAAATTCAGTACGCAACGTTAAGATTGAACAAGCTTTATGACGGTCCAAATAAAAAACTGGCTTGGCGTGTTTGACAAAAATCTCTTTGCCAGATCACATGCACATTGTCTTTAATGTATTGGACAGGGCGGAGGCTTTAGAGGATACATTTAGCGTTTATGTAGGCCCTATTGGTCCATACACAAGGAAAGGATTAAGGGAGAATCGGAACATAGGGTCCATCGAACGGTTGAACGGGGTGTCCAACGTCTTGGGCTTGTTGCTTAACTAATGTTACGAAATCAGTTGCCCGCCAATAAGGGGTAAGTTTAATAAGGACGTACCGTGGTGGAATGGCGAGTTCGTAAAAATAAAATTAATAAAAAGGGACGCAAGGCAAGTTTTCAGAGATACCAATGGAGCCTCTATTATAGGTCTCTTGAAATATGTGATCGAGTGTGTCATGGGCTAAGTATAAGCACTTAACATTCTTTTTTCGTTTGGAATAACTAAGTTTTCTTTCATATGAAAGATTTAATTACAAGATCAAAAGGAATTTTTCATACATACAAATTTTAATTTTATATAAATTGCGCTATTCTAGGTAACAATAACGCAATTTAATATCTCCATCCCTAATAGTAATTTCAATAAAACAACTTAAAATAGTGGTCAGATTTTATACCTCTTTTTTTACCGACCGTATTGTGTAAACAATAGGTAGGTTATGTGATGGCAACAAATTTTGCATATCGAGTTTTCGGTGGGAACGTACTTCTCCATAGTAGGGAAGTGTAAATAAACTATTTTTAGCAACCTGTCGGTCTGTCGGTCTGTCGGTCTGTCGGTCTGTCGGTCTGTCGGTCTGTCGGTCTGTCGGTCTGTCGGTCTGTCCGTCTGTCGGTCTGTGTGTGCACGCGTGTATCTCAAGTTCGGCTGAACCGATTTTGATGAAATTTTATATGTAAGTTTGTTTCCACCATGGCACGGATCGATCAACTTTTGGTATATATCAGGCCTCGGGAACTGCACTTTTTAGCGGGCCTGTTTTACATTTTTGAACATTTTGAAGAAAGTATTCAACCGATTTACTTGAAATTTTATATATAAGCTCAGCTCGACCATCCGCAAAAATTCGTATGTTTTGGAAGAAATCAGGCATCGGCAACTAGACGTTTACTACGGGCCAAATATACATTTTTGTGTATATAAAGAGAAATAATTAACCGATTTCATTGAAACTTAATATATGAACTCCTCGTATTAAAACAATGAACATATAAATTTTTTGGAAAGATCAGGGCTCGAAAACGGATTTGCGGGCCGATTTTACATTTTTCACCATTTTGAAGAAAGTATTCAACCGATTTACTTGAAATTTCATATATAAGCTTTGCTCGATCATACGCAAAAATTCCTAACTTTTGGAAGAAATCAGGCATCAGCAACTGGGCGTTTACTACGGGCCAAATATACATTTTTGTGTATATAAAGAGAAATAATCAACCGATTTCATTGAAATTTAATATTTGAGTTCCTCGTATTAAAACAATGAACATGTAAATTTTTTGGAAAGATCAGGCATCGGCAACTAGACGTTTACTACGGGCCAAACATACACTTTTGTGTATATAAAGAGAAATAATCAACCGATTTCATTGAAATTTAATATATGAGCAATGAACATATAACTTTTTTGGAAAGATCAGGGCTCGAGAACTGATTTGCGGGCCGATTTTACATTTTTCACCATATCCACAGAACAAATTGATGGAATTTCTTGAAATTTGATATTTGAGTTCTGGTTGTTACCGAAACTAACTGGTGAGCATTTCAAGGAATTCGGGTAGCACAAAGCGAAACTCTACTAAGAGCCAAATTTACATTTTTCTAGGTATGTTAACTATAAGCTTACTAATGTCCTAAAAATTGGAAAGAAGTATTTAACAGACATTTTTATAATATTCTGTAACACTTTCATTTAACTAGACAATACACAATGCGGTCGGTTATGTGCTGACCACATCAGATTTTTTCATATACGAATTGAATTTTTTTTTTTGCTTTAACAAAGTGATTTTGTATGCGTACATACAACCCATGTATATATGTAGTATACACAATGTTGTTCATAAACATACATAATATTCATAGAAAAAAATGTGTACAGTGTGTATGATCATGTTGGTGTTAGAGGGGATTAAATTGTATTAAATATTAGGCAGAATCCTGTTTAGGATTAAATGTCGGATCATGTAAATTTTTTTTTTGTCATGATTTGATTTACTGTTGCTGGTTTATTTCTATTAGGAATTTTTTGGAAACGAATTTTCTAGTAAAATATCATACGATTGTAGTTACGTTAGGAATTTTGGAGTTTCTTTATGTATGTATGAAAGGTTTTTTTTTCTCTTGATGTTAAATTAATTTATAAAATAAAGAGTTAGTTAGTCTATAGAGCTAGAAAAAGTGGTGTTTTATTCGCTTATATGGAATACAGAGAAATTATTAAAAAAAAATGAAATGTAGTCTTATTTTAATCGTAAGAAAGTTAAGATCGTTATAAGAAAATATCGCTCAAAAAAATTTAGTATATAAAGAAAAAAAATCTGATGTGGTCAGCACATAACCGACCGCATTGTGTGTTGTCTAGTTAAATGAAAGTGTTACAGAATATTATAAAAATGTCTGTTAAATACTTCTTTCCAATTTTTAGGATATTAGTAAGCTTATAGTTAACATACTTAGAAAAATGTAAATTTGGCTCTTAGTAGAGTTTCGCTTTGCGCTACCCGAATTCCCTGAAA